ACAACCGTACCCGGCAGCGCTCAGGTATTTCTAGAGGCAATAGAGACTTGAAGCAGGCCGTAGAATGTTCCTGCTGAAGCATTGGAATAAAAAAAGGCAATAAAATACTTTTTCTGGTGACGCTGATTCATTGGTGAAATATGTCATTTTATAATTTTTACAAATTGTTTTATATATTTCTCTCGAATCTTCATTCACACACACACACACACACACACACACACACACGTATATATATTGATGATTTTGTATTATTGTATTTACTGTTTCTCTAACCAGTAAAAGGCCCAAGAGTCACTCAAGGTAGAGGGTTATTGGAAGTAGATAATGGTTGCCCGAAACTTGAAGAAGTTAAAATTGTATCGATCGGGAAATTATTCACTCGGGAGTCCGTTCCACAAACTAAAGGTTCTTGGGAAAAAGTTGCGAAAACGTCAGAATGGAACTTCCTCATTACTAATGGGATATTAAGGGAATGAAGATGTGTCGACCCTGTGTGCTTGGCATAGCGGGTTAGTCTATAACTACGCCCATGTATTAGTTAAAATATTACACCTACACTTTTGTGCAAATTAATTGAGACAACCGATTTAGTTTCCTTTCTTTCACCATACGGTCAGTTTTAGATCCACTCGAGTGACAGGGTGTAATCGATTTCTATTTTTTCCTCAGATTAGGTCATTTTCTGTGGTGTGCAGCAATGTGAATTTATTTTCGGTGTGTATGATGAAATTTGTTTGGCCTTGTCGCATCATCGTTGATTGCATCAGATTTTCATCACGCCCAGACACTATTGTTTCGACTGACGATTAGTTGTCCTACGGCCATTGTTTGACTTTACTCCAAGGAAGCGTACGACAATTGTAACGCTGCACGAACACACTGGTAAGCCTTACAAGTGAGCAAATCAAAGTATTATCGACTGGCTCGGAAACTCTCCTGATTTAAATCCAGTCGAGAATCTGTAGACAGTCTGCAAGAAACGACATCGTGTAATAGACATATGAAGTACTAACATGTACTCTGGGTCATATTTCATTGGAAAAATACGAAAAAATATAAATAATAACAGAATTATTCTCTTTGTTTCAATTAATTTGCACAAGGATGTACTTAAAAACTAAGAATAAATATGTCGGATATGAAATAGATAAAATGGCTCTTCGATTTCAAACGTTCCTATTGTCTTTATGATTGTTTAAATTCGTGCTTGTTATACTTTCTAAAAAAAACTATCTATCTTACAATTACAATTAACCTCTTTCATTAGTACATAAACTGTGCTCTCGTCTGTAAGCGTGATTCCGCGGGCGCGCGCGCACGCGCGTGTGTGTGTGTGTACATATGTTTTGTTTGCAAGGAAATGTGAGTGCTATCGCTTTTTTCCTCTTTCTACAAAGTGCTTCAATATTATCAGTTGCGTATCGAGTTTCTACGGACAACAAAGTATAAAAATATCATCAACAGCAATAAAAATAAACAAAACAACCACAACAATGACATCGACTATCACAACATTAAATAAAACAGTTGGTTAGTTACCAAAAGTATAATTTAATGGCCATTGTCTCCTTACGCTATTTCCAAGAGGAAAACAGATCAACCGCCATATTGTAATGAAAATCAAAAAAGAAAAAAAAAACAAAGCAAGAAGTAAGAATAAAATAAAATAATTAAAAGATAAGAAGAGACAGACAATGAAACATAAAAGAAAGCTGAAATATGAAAAACATTTTATATATATATATATATATATATATATATATATAGTAGATGTAGTTGGATACAAATATTGTTTAATTAAAAAACAGAGCGTCTACTCGGATATTAGTATCCATAAAAATAATCTTTAAAACAATATATATATATATATATATATATATATATATATATATATATATATATATATATATATATGTATGTTAGTAGGATGTATAATAGTATCTGAAACAAAAGTGTTGATAACGGGTCAAAAATATATATATATATATATATATATATATATATATATATATATATATATATATATATATATATATATATATATATATATATATATATAATGGAATGGATTCAGTCCGACTATTATTTAATGCTTATACGTTATTATTGGATAGAAATTTCCGTATAGGAAATACAGGTTCGATTCTTGTTGGAGACCGCATATTTTCTACGAAACTTCTCGAACATTCAAACCGATAAATGGTAATGAATACTGTTTAATTAAATAAATAGACCATTTACTTAAATATATTGCATCTAATAATAACGTGTAAACAGGAATTATATATATATATATATATATATATATATATATATATATATATATAATATCAACTGTTAATAAGGCCATGACGTGCTGACCGTGTTTCGAAAAAAATTTCCATCACTAGATATACGCACATATATAAAAATCTATATATTCAGTTATAAAAAATATCCTCGATCATAGCTAATAGAATAGCCAAAATAGAATATATAGACAATTTTTACACATTTTAAGCCCATAAAAACTCTTGTACGAAGGCAAGAAAGATTGAATAAATGACTTAATCGCAGTACCTTGTCAGTTGTCTTTAATAAAAAATATATAATATTAACAATAATAGAATATAACAAAAGTATAGTTTTAATGCATGCTATACTTATGATTTAAGGACCTCGATATTGTGGATAGCGCGTATGTAAATATGAAAACGAAAACAGAAAAACAAACATATGAAAATATTTATTAAAGTCATACACAAACACACTCCCACCATCAAACACTCTCCACAAGATATTCAACAAAAACACAATAAAAACAGTTATAGTTGAACCGAGAACATGAAACAAATATTAAAAAAACACAACATGAGAACAACAAAACGGCCGCACAAATCAAACCCACGTGTAACTGCAGAGCAAAGAACGAATGTCCTTCAAACGGCAATTGCTTAGAGAACAAAGTAATATACTAAGCCACTGTAAAGTCAGCAGATAACGAAGAAAAAAATATACATAATAGTAATTGAAGAACTCTGGAAGCAAAGAAACTACGCACATAAAACTTCCTTTATTAATAGTAAATAATCGAACAGCACAATGCTATATAAATAGTAGAGCCAAAACAGAACGCACATGGTTTGACAATTGCGTTTAATCATGAAACAGAGTGTCGCCGCTGGGTGTTGACCACAATGTCCACTGTTATATATATATATATATATATATATATATAAAGGGAAGAGGTTATAGTAGTTCCAACGAGAGAAAAGTGTGTATAATAAAAAGAAGAGAGAAACCGCAAACGTTTTTGGTTGTAATGTGGATTTTTGAAAAAAATATATTATGCTTTATTTTCCATAATTTTGCTACACGGGTTTCCGGTCTCGCGACCTTCATCAGAAAAAGAATGGATATTTCTACATATTATTAAAAGGAATTTTTCGATGTTAAATATTATCGATATTAGACATTCTCTTTTCTGTGTGTTAGTGACCCAAGTATCTTTCTTGAACTGGCAGTGAAAGAATTCTACGTTAAGGGTAATAAAACAATTAAGATTGGTCCGAGAAAGAATAAGAAAGATATTTATATTCTTATCTTTTAATGACCCCTGTGTGTTCTTAGATCTATTTCCATTTTTTTTGTTTTTGTCAGCATGCGTACGTATACGTATATTCCCTCTCCATACATACATAATGTCTTATAATAAGGTATTAGTATACACAAATGTACACATATACATACACATCCACAACACACACATACACATACATACACACACACACATATACATACATGCTGTCTTATTATAAGAAATTAGTATACACACATATACATACATATATGCATACATCCACACACACACGCACACACACACACACTATGTTGCGTAGGGTTTGCGCGCGTTCCTGTGAGCAGTCTATTGTTTTTGCTAATATGCATATACATATTCATGCTCCACATACACCCGCGTGTTATATATATATATATATATATATATATATGCCGCGTGTTATATATATGTATATATATATATATGAGTGTGTGTCTGTCAGTAGCGTTCGTGTGCTGTGTTTGTATGTGTGTGTGTATGTGTGTGTATCAAAGTAGGTAATGAAATAGTTCTTGTATATTTTTTCGTTTTATCTAATTTGGCTGACAATAGATAATCTATCTGCAGATTTTCTCGGCATATTTCACACACAGTTTTAGAAAAATTAGAAACTATTTTAAATATTTTTGAAAATGACGTTTTTGAGAACAGTGTAGAAAAGGTGTTTTAGCCTATAATTATTTAATTTAGGTGTTAACCTATAATTATTTAATTTATTAGGTGTTAACTTATAATTACTGGAATTCCCGTCTTTAGAATTCTATTGAATAGGCATCCTTGACCTTGATCACGATTATAAAAAAAAATGGAAAATTAAAACAAAAAATATTCTGAGATATAAAATAATCCGAGAAGAAAATAATCTGAGAAGAAAATGTATAAAAATGTTTATTTAACTTTTCTTTTCCTATTGTTCACGGATGTTTTCTATAAAAAAAAAAAATTGTTTTAATAATTATTTATTTATAAAATGGTAAATAATAAATATTCCATCGTAGTTGGTTAACATATATTTTATAATCTTGTAAAATTCTCTCTCTCTCTCTCACACACACACACACACACACACACACACATATATATATATATATATATATATATATATTAGTTTGATGAGATGGGCGACTAACATAGGGCTCCAAAATAAAAGGGAGAAAAAATTATATATATATCTATATGCATATATCTAAAATTATAAATATATAAATTATATATATATATATATATATATATATATATATATATATATATATAAAGAGAGAGAGAGAGAGAGAGAGAGAGAGAGAGAGAGAGAGAGCCGAGAACTAAGTAAATTAAAACAAAGCTTTGATCAAAGTAAGAAAAATTAGATTGTGAAAAATATGAATAGATCAGAATAGACTTAGATAGATAGATAAAATCAGACTGAAATAGATAGATAGATAGGATCAGACTGAAATAGATAGATAGATAAAATCAGACTGAAATAGATAGATAGATAGATAGATAGATAGATAGGAGTAGACTGAAATAGATAGATAGATAGATAGATAGATAGGAGTAGACTGAAATAGATAGATAGATAGATAGATAGATAGATAGATAGATAGATAGATAGATAGATATGAACAGACTGAGCTAGCTAGCTATATAGATAAAGAGAGGGAGAGTGTAATTGCTATAATTTCTAGTGGTGATTTTCTAGGCAAGGCCTCCCACTAAGGAGATTAAAGCATAATTCGTTCATCTGATCTTATAACATGCTTAGCTAAAATTACTATAGACAGAAAGATAGAAAAGAAAAAATTAAAAAGCTTCAAAAAAGAGATAATCAGATTGAGAGTCAAAGAGAGAGAGAGAGAGAGAGAGAGAGGGAGAGAGAGAGAGAGAGGGAGAGAGAGAGAGAGACTCCAAAAAAGAAAGAAAAAAAGAAAGACAATAAATTATAGAAAGATTAGCTGAAATAATAAAATGCGTAAAAGCAAAAGAGATAAAAAGAGAATGTAGGTTAAAGAGAAAGATGAAGAGAGAAAAGGAAAGAGAAGAAAAGAAGCGGAGAGGAAACAATGAGCATGAGAAAAAACAGACTAATGAAAGAAAGGAAAATTACTTGAAGACATAAAATAAGGAAAAAAAAACTATTGAGAGAGAGAGAGAGAGAGAGAGAGAGAAAGAGAGAGAGAGAGAGAGAGAGAGAGAGTAAGCAAGCGTAAAATAGAGAGATAGTGAGAGATAGAAATAGAAATGAGAGAGAATAGGAAAGAAATGGAGAAAAAAGAAAGGAAATGGAAAAGAGAGATTACCTGAATACAGAAAATAAGAGAGGAATAGAAAGACAAGTAAAATGAGAAAGAGAGAGAGAGAGAGAGAGAGAGAGAGAGAGAGAATAAGCATAAAATAGAGAGAGTGAGAGAGAGAGAGACATAAAATAAGTGTTGAATAGAAAAACAAATTCAGAAATAAATAGAAAGAGAGAGAATAAGCGTAAAATAGAGAGGAGGAGAGAAAGATATATAAAATAAGAGAGGAATAGAAAGACAAATAAAATGAGTAAGAGAGAGAAAGAGAGAGAATAAGTGTAAAATAGAGAGAGAGAGGCGTAAAATAAAAGAGGAATAGAAAGACAAATAAAATGAGTAAGAGAGAAAGAGAGAGAATAAGCGTAAAATAGAGAGAGAGAGAGAAAAGAGAGAGAGGCGTAAAATAAAAGAGGAATAGAAAGACAAATAAAATGAGAAACAGAGAGAGAGAAAAAGAGAGTAAATAAATGTAAAATAGAGAAAAAGAGAGTAAGCATAAAATAGAGAGTGGTAGAAATGAGAGTATAGAAAGAAAAGGAGAAAAAGAAAGAAAATGGAAAAGTTAGGAAGAAAGAATAAAATGCGAGATAATACGGTCAACTGTGCTAAGGCTTCTTCTACTGTTGTCAGTTTTATGCAGAAGTCACCCTTCAGGTTGGATAGTAAATTCACGTGATCATTTGACATCATCACATGTTTACCCGTGTTCCTATCCAGGAGGCCATCGGCATTTACGCTTAGGCTTTGTATCGTAGACTTTTATCCTCAAATCGTATTCATGAAGCTGTCGTCATTGAACTGATGAAATTGCCGTCATATCTGTGGAATTCAGCTTTGAGAAGATCATGTACAGACCAGAGCCTATCAGCTGATCTCCCCTCTGATCTAAGCCCTAACACTCCAATGAGAGAATAACTGGCTTTTAGCATTCACTACTTCAAAAAACAAATCAGTAACGTTCCATCATTACTGAGGAGACGCTGAAATTTCATCTATCGCAATGAACAATGAAAAGGTGTTTTCGCGAAGTAGGATCCTTGACTTGGACGCCTATTAAGTTCACCCCAGACAACGTGGAACTCGTATGTAAGGTCAATCGCTAAAGATGCTGGAAAAATGGTCAGTTCTTTGTACCACTCCAATCCTTCTGAATTGTACCGAAATCCTTCTGCTATGCTCTACGTTTATGTGAGCCAGATCAGACCGAAAATGAAGTTCTTCTACCATAACTGGACTGGAACCGCCCGGTTCTCGTTTTCCAATCTCGACAGAGTTCAAAAGCGTCTATGCGGCCTTTTGAGTGATGAATTATTTCCACCCTACAGCCCCTTTCCTCACAGACGAAACGTCGCAAGCCTCTCGCTGTTCTATCGCTATTTACACGGCAAATATTTTGACGAGCTCCAAAATTTCACCAGTTCAGACTTTCACAGCTAAGACCCGCCATGCAACGTACACTGGAACAAACCATTTCCGTTCCTTTCGAATTTTATTAGTAAAATGGCAGATCCACTCGGCCAGGTTCTTTCCAAGAACCGCTACTTTCTCAACTACTACAATCTTAACCTCTTGAAGTCTAGTTTGAACAATTGTCTCTCCCACATAAACTGCATTCCATACTTCTTACTCTTATCGTTCATACAAACATTTTCTTTAGTAACCCTTTACCTTGAGTGGCTCTTGAGTCTTGTATTGAGTGAACAATAGTAAAGAAAAGGAAAAACAACAACAAATAAACGGGATAACTATGGATAGTCCACTGGGGAGATGGCCAATATAGTGTTTGGTTTTTATGAGCAAGGTTTACTTGCTCGTATTAAAAGACCCAGTTGTTAGTTTTGATACGTCGACGACACTTTCTGTGTTTTCGATTGTGAAATTGAGGCTGTGGTATTTCAATTTTGAGTGATGTTGAGGCTAGGATATTTCAATTTTGAATGAATTTGAGACTAGGGTATTTCAATTCTGAGTGAAGTTGAGGCTGGAGTATTTCAAATTTAAGTGAATGCGAGGCTGGAGTATTTCAATTTTGAGTGATGTTGAGGCTGGGGTATTTCAATTTTGAGTGATGTTGAGGCTGGAGTATTTCAATTTTACATGTAAAAAAGAGAATATCGGTGTCCTTTCGATCCTGGATGTCTCAGTGCACAGGTTGGATTCATTGTTTCTTAGCTTTGTATACCTGGAACCAACCTTCACGCATTTATATACTCATATAGACGGCGAAAGATGAACCTTATTAAAACCCTTTTTCATCGTGCCCTAGTAATTTAGTCAAAGACAAAATTAAATTCAGAATTTAATTTATTAAGAAAGTTTTAGGTGAAATTGATACCTGGCAAAAATGTCGCAATTTACAAAACCTAAGTTGATTTACCCCCAGAAGTCTCCTGTCTATTTGCGTATACCTTGGTGATGTTAAGGCCAAGTTTACTATACAAATTCCTGTTAGCGTGAAGAGCTGTTATCTATCAGCCAATCGACACGTTTTCTTTATTGTTCAGCCAATATTAAGGTCGATATGAAAGGATGTTCGGTAATGTGCAAACTACGTACCAACCCCCAAACCATAGTGACCGTTTCTCCCTTAACACCGTTTTTTATTCTATACTCTCTCGGGTCGATGGGTAATGAAATTTCCGTAGAACATCAATCAATGTGTCATCATCTAACCATCATCTCGTCAAACACGCAAACATGGCTACTGTCTGTTAAAAACACAGCTACTGTTTGCTTTAAAAATTCATTTCTGTGATATTTTAAACTTTAAGTATATAATATTTGTTTTAAATCAGATTAATTATATCTTAAATCAGCTAATATTCCCAAAATAAAGTTTCAGAAAATATATTTTATTTTTGGAAGATATTTTAATAAACATTACGATGAAAGAAGACTAAAAAGGTACCAATCAGCTATTTTAACAAAAAAAAAAAAAAAAAAGAAAAAAAGAAAGAAAAAGAAAAATCGATTCCAATCAATTTCTGTTGGAAAACACCGGAGTATTTTGCTTACTGGTAATAGTGCATTCAGTCCTTTAGCTTTCAATTAAAGCTACAATTAAATCTTCAAGAAAACGTTTTCATTTTTAAAAATTAATATAGACATTAGGTATCGTGATTTTAGTGGCAGTGCCTATAAAATCTATATTGTTTTTAAAAAACTATGTTTAAAATTTTAATAACAACAAAAATATTACACACTGTTTAGTTGTTAGATTGTTTATTTACAATATGAATTTTATATTTACAATATTATAAAAATACATGAATATTCGAATTGACTGGCAAATCTCCGACGTTTGCTAAACATTCCAAAGAAGACAATTCGCCGGTTTTGTCGATTACTTTTGTCAATATGTTCCCTGTGAATTCTTCATTTTCGTTTATTTCAACTGTCATCATTTGGCTGACAATAAATAATCTATCTGCAGATTTTCTCGGCATATTTTACACACAGTTTTAGAAAAATTAGAAACTATTTTAAATATTTTTGAAAATGACGTTTTTGAGAACAGTGTAGAAAAAGTGTTTTAATGTATAATTATTTAATTTATTAGGTGTTATCTTATAATTACTGGAATTCTCGTCTTTAGATTTCTATTGAATAGGCATCCTTGACCTTGATCACGATTATAAAAAAAATAATCTGAGAAGAAAATGCATAAAGTTCAGAAAAATGTTTATTTAACTTTTATTTTCCTATTGTTCACGGATGTTTTCTATAAATAAAAAAATTGTTTTAATAATTATTTATTTATAAAATGGTAAATAATAAATATTCCATCGTAGTTGGTTCACATATATTTTATAATCTTGTAAATATAAAATTAATGTTATCAACAATCTAATAACTAAGTCGTGTGTAATATTTTTGTTATTAAATTTCTAAACATAGCAGTATGTTGCGTCAATTCGTCTGGATCTGCGATAGCTGAGCATTTATTAAATCAGTATCAGTATGCCAGGTTCAATGACCAAGACATATTCTAGGTACTGAGGAAGGCTCGCTCTGATTTTCACCTTAAAGTTTTACTCAATTTATGATAAGTATTTTAAGCTAAGCCTCTATAAGCAGAAGGAGTGGATATTAGATTTAAGTATAATTAGCCTTTGATGTTGTGTTTCTTTGATATTGATATTTTCTTAAATTTTTAAGATTACTGGGTAGTTAAATAATGTATAAAAGGTATTCACGTTATATTCCTCAAGTAATTGTTAAAATTACATTCCCCTTAGGAAAAAATTCCCAAAGATAAGACGAGCGAGAAAGTTGTCAACAGCTCAAAAAATACCCACCTTCGTATTAAAAAAAATGCTTTTCTGCAATATTTTAAAATAAAACTAAATGATATTTGTTTCAAATCCGATTAATTCCTCTTTAAATCATCTAATCTTCCTTAAATAAAGTTTCAAAAAGTATATTTTACTTTTGAAAGATTTTTTAATAAAGAGAATTGCGTTGTATTGACAGATTTGTCAATAAGGAAGAGTTTTTAGCGTTTTTACTGATAATAAAATATTCCAGTCAATTTAAATTCAGTTTGAAAATATTTTGCTTATTGGAAATATTAAATTTAATCTGTTAGCTTGAAATTAAAACTAAAATAAAAGCTTCAAGAAAGATTTTTCATTTTTAAAAATGCATTTTAAACCTTAAGTATCTTTTTTTCTTTGGAGGTAGCTATATGCTACATTTATTTTCAAATGCCTTTTTGGTCGAAATAGTGTTTTTTTAATATCTTAAGTTGTCTTAAATGTAAAAAAAAATGCGTGACAATAATGAGAGAAAAAGAAGAAAAATTCGATCTGAGAGATAAAAAGAAAAAGAAAAACGAAAACAATGGAAACATCAAATTAAATAATAGATGGGAAGTGAGGAGGAGGCTTTCTCTTCCTCTCTTGTCGAAGTCTCTGCCTCGGGATGGAGAGGAGCCCAGACGGGGCTATGCCGAAGGGCAGTCTCGTTTGGGGAGGTAGCAAATCCAATCTACCGTGTATACGGGCAATTTTTAACCGAGCTTACGAACTCAAAGCGCCTCACGTTAAAAACTAGCCTTGTGCCACATCTTGCCTTGTGGGGAGGTTTGTAAATAGAGAATTCGAATAGAAGAATAAAATATATAAATAATAAAGAAAGAAAAAGTAAACGAATGAGCCTAAGACAAAAAGTCTGAGAGGAGGCGGGAATAACCGAAAGACAGAGAGAAAGAAAAGGCAAAAAAAAAAAAAAAATGAAGGGAAAGAAAAGAAAATAGAACTAAAAAGAAAGAATGAAGGGCTAAAAGAAAATTCAAGTATAAAACAAAGCTCGTATTTGTATTACAATATTTGTTTTGAACACAAAGGTGTCGGCTTGCGCGCGTCGCATAGCATGACGTTATTTTTCTTTTTATCATATCGCCGCATTGGCCCGGGTGGACGGGTGTTTGTAAATCTCCGCTAATCAAGCGGCATTTTGTAATCATGTTACACCGATTAAAATGCCGCCGGTGACC